GTGAGGAATTGAACCCAGGACCTCATGCATGCGAGCCAAGCACTCTGCCACTGAGCCAACTTCCCAGCCCTGTTTTGTAATTTTTGTTAGCATACATTTACATGAGTTGATTTAAACAAATTGCTTAAATTAAATTTAAAATTATTGATAGATTTATAGGAAGTGGTCAAAATAATACACATTAACCTCAATTAACCCTTCCCCTAGATTCCCCCAAAGGAGCCATGTTCCTTAATTATAAAGCAATAACAAAGCCAACGTGTTGACAGCAGTAGAATGCATGCACATATTCTTCATCTGAAATGCTGGGAACCAGTGCTGGGTAAACCAACACTGGGGGTTGGACCATGTGTATATGCATAATGAGACCTCTTGGTTGCAGGCTCCAATTCTAACCACAGCATTCATGTAGATTACATATGCCTTTAAATAGCCTGAAGTTGTTTTACAAAGTATTGTTAGGGTATTTTGACTGTGATCTATCTCATGATATCATTTTCCATTATGGTGTCATGTCAGTGCCCAGTAAGTTTGAGATTTTGGAACTTTTTGGACAAGATTTCAGCCTGTATCTACACTACTGATGTTTTACCTCACACACAAATTCATGTAAGAAAGAGCATAAGCAAGGCATAGTTCCTCTGCCCTTGTACCAACAGCTCTCAATGTCACACCCTGTTCCCCTCCCTACCCATTCTCACCCTCTGCGCTGTTTCTGGTGTCCAAAATGAGGAAACTGCATTATTAAATACTTAGTGGCCAGAAGGTGTGACACGATATTTTTAAGTGAATTTTTTTTAAAGAAAAGATTGTTAACTCTGAGTCTTCCATCTAGTGAAAACAGTCTCCAAGAATAAAGGGAATCTAAGATATTTCCAGAGGCAGGAAATGAGAGGATTATTACTAGCAATAAATGTGAGGAGTTGTTACCACAAGAAGAGCCAGAGGAAATTTTGAAAGAAATGAGAACAGAAAGAACTTTGCAGTAAACATCAGGAAAGAACAGAGACCAATGAAAAGGGTGAAATATGGGCACACACAAGAGACAGTCCTTCTCAATATTTTTCAATTGTGTTTTATGTTGAAGCAAAAATTATGGCATTATCAGATGTGGTTATCAAGATATACCAAGGAATGATTGAAGACATTATATTATAAACAGGAAGAAAGGAAGGGATTTAAGTGGAAGTAAATATTCTGAACTTCATTCAACTAAAGAAAATGTCTACTCTAGTAATCTGCAGTAAAGTTTATATATATTTATATGTATATATATAGTTTATTGCTTGAAACAGCCACTTAAGATTTATTAAAAGGTACACATTCAAATATACTATAGGTACATTAAAATGGAATTCTGAAAGTGATAGGACTTCATAAAAAAAAGAAAAGACAAATGATAAATAGAAAAAATATATAAGCCCTAATGCATGAAAAATTCTTTAACCATCAATGACAAATAAACCAATTAAAAATGGTGATGGGAATCATGTCATTAAAAACTTGCCCAACTATATGTTGCCTATAAGAAAGTCTTTTCAAATTTGCACAAACCGTTGGAAAGTAACAGAATAGAAAAGACATGTCATGCAAACATGACAAGAGATAAATAAAACTAACAAACCTCAAGCCAGGAAGAGAAAAAGAAACATGAAACAATTTCCTAATGTGTGGAATGAAACAGAGATAGTGCTACAGATATCGAAAGGACAAAAAGCAGTGTTCTACATAATACTAGCTAGTAGAATTCAACAAAATATTGAAACTATATACCAGAGCCAACTGGAACTTATTCACCATTCAAAAGCAGGCCCAGTGTCTAAGAGCCATTCAGTGGGGTACATATATTAATAGGTCAAAGAAAAATCCCATGATCAAACTGATGCAGCCAAAGTATTTCACAAACAAAAATATTTTGGTTTTCCCTCATGATGAAGGTGTGCTCTTCTCATTTTAAAAACATTTTCTATGTCTTTTGATTTTAGAAGTTGGATTGTGATCCTTCTCTATGTACATATCTTTGGGTTTATTCAGTTTGGGGTTTGTTCAGCTTCTTAAGTCTGTGGGTTTACGTCTGACATCTAATTTGGGAATTTTGAGCCTTATTTTTTTTTTATAATGTAGCCTCTTCCTTTACTTTCCCTTCATCTCCCATCCCATCCCTGCCCAAGTTACACAAGTCGTTTTCCACATAGTGTATACTAAATAGCATGATTGCTTTTGTTCACCCTTCTACCTTCCCTTTCTGGATCCCCTTTTATACGCCCAGAAGAAAAAACTTAAAGCAAAAACCAACACCACTACTTCCACCATCACAAACTAATAATAACAACAACAAAAAGGTGTTTCTATTTCCCAGAGTTTTGTTTTAATAAATAGTATTTTCAGTGTCCAGAGAAGTTACACCTTTATGTTTCTTCCCTAAGGGTGACTTCCTTTAATCTGGCTTTGTATGTGAATACTTGGAGTCCTGTATAGTTATCATGATCACTTACATTTTAGATCTAGTTTCCACATATGAGAGAAGACGTGTTTTGTTTTTCTTTCTGAGTTTGGCTTACCTCATTTATGATTTGTTCTAAGTCCATCATTTTTCTGATAATGACATAATCTTATTTTTTTCTAATGAATAAGTAAAATTCATTGTGTACATGTACCATATTTTCTTGACTCTTCACTTGTCTGTTGGAGGGTATCTGGGCTGTTTCTATAACTTGGCTATTGTGCATAGTACAGCATTAACAAACCTAACTTGAATATGGATGTGCAAGTGTCTTTATTTGTAATGATCTGGGTAGATGCCCAGAAGTAGTATGGCTGGGTCATAGAGAAGTGCTATGTTGAGTTTTTTTAGGAACCTCCAAACCCCTTCCAGAATGGTTATACTACAGTCTCACCAACAGGGCAATATGGTACCTTTTCCCCCACGTCCCTGCCAGCATTGGTTGTTATTTGAACTCTTGATGGTGGACAATATAACAGGGGTGAGATGGAATTTAAGCCTTAAATTTTAAAACATGTTTTAAAACGTCAATCAGTTTTTGCCACTCCTTAGTCCAGTTTGACTTAGTCTAGTGTTTGACTTTTCTTTGTTAAGTCACAGACCCCTGATAGCTCAAGTTCATATCTCCTGTGAGCCATCTATTGAACTTTTTTATTTCAGTTATTATGTTATCCAGTTCTGTAATCTCCATTTAGTTGTTCTTTGTATATTCAATTTCTTTTTTAAGGTTTTCTGAAAATTTTTCATTTACCTCAAGCTGATTGTATTTTTTTGGTCAGTCGTGGGGCCTGAACTCTGGCCCTGGGCACTGTCCCTCAGCTCTTCAGGTCAAGGCTAGCGCTCTACCACGTGAACCACAGCACCAATTCTGGATTTTTCTGCTTATGTGGTGCTGAGGAATCAAACCCAGGGCCTCATACATGCAAGGCAAGCACTCTACCACTGAACTACCTTCCCAGACCCTGATTTGTATTGTTTTTGAAGCATTTTTATGATGGATGCTTTATAAAATATCTGTTACATGTATATCTAGCTAGTTGTTGGCATCTACTGACTATTGACTATTTCTTTAAGTTAAGAGTTTTCCAGTTTTTGGTATGATGAGTATGTTTCTGTATTATTTGGGTTATTGGAGTTGTGTGTTATTTAAACCACCAGACATGACTCTAGTGGGGCAAGGTAAAAAAAAAATCACTTCATTACTGACAGTTTGGGGACAAATCCCACCTTTTTGGGCCTCTGTTGGCTCCCTAATGTGGGAAGGATGTCTTTCATCTGCAGGCATGGATAGGAGCTAAGGCTCTCCATTGATACCACCCTGGTGTGGAAGGAAGTTTAAAAAAAACTCAAAAGTATTAAACTATAATTGTCATGACTGACTGAAGAAATATAAGTGCTTCTAGCAGTATGAAATATTACAGCCTTTTTGCAAAGCAATCTTGAAGCTATTAAAATCTGATACCAAATAAAAGTTTTTAAAAATCTGATACCATGAGATCAGGAGACCTCTTCTTCTTCCTTCTACTTTCCATTGTGGGGTGTGTGTGTGTGTGTGTCTGTGTGTGCTTGTGTGTGTGTGAGTGTATAGTGAGTGTGGGGTGAGTAGTGTGTGTATATGTTTGTATGTGTGTGTGCATGTTACCAGGAAGGAGCTCCTCTTAGAGTGGAATGGGGTATAGATAGGATACCTGGGAAGAAAAGGGTTTTTGTCTTCCAGTGGCTATCAGTAGAACAGAGACGCTGGAGATATGGGCACAGAGCCTTGCTGTTCTGCTAGTGTGGGAAGGTTTTGTTTTGAAATGCTTAGGTGGCCATGTGCTAGCTATGAGCTGGGGTAGTATTAGCAGCTCAAGGACTAGGGCTGTACACATACTTAGTCCAATGTCTCTATCAAACAAGCCTAAGTACTCAATGCCCAGAATGTGTTCCTGCTTTAACTCTGTTCTCATGGGGCATTGTGTAAGCAAGAGCTTTGATCACAACTACTGGCCTTAAAGTATTTTTAATTAAGCCAGGTGCTGATATCTTATGCCTGTAATCCTAACTACTAAGAAGGATAAGATCGGAGGATGACATTCTGAAGCCAGCCTGAACAGAAAAGTCCAGTCAGACTCCATCTCCAAAAGAAGCCAGTCTGGAAGCATGGCTCAAAGAGAGCCAGTTTAGCACACATGAGGACCTGCCTTTAAACTCCAGCACGACCAATACTTACAAGACTATGGAGCAGGCAATATTCAGTCATGACTTCTTTCAATCAAAGTAGAAGAGTGGATTTTTCAAAGTCTTATAAATAGATCTTTTAAAAGAAACAAGATTTTTGTTTCTTGTCTATTTGCCTTTTTCAAAATTACTGTCAACTGAGTATTGCATTTGTACTTAAATGATTACACAAAACAATAGTAATGTTCTCTCCACAAGAAGCTGGGAAGAGGAAGAACAGCAACCTCAGTGTGTCTCCCCTCCCTCTGACCTCTGGTGCATTCCCTTTGCTTTCCAGAGCCTCGTGCCCTGGGGAGGACCGCCGGGCCACAGATCAAGCTGCCTCCGTGGTCAGAAGGCTTGTCACACAGAGCCAGCTCAGAGGCTCTTCTCCACCACTTTTGCAGAGCATGTCCCCAGGGAGGCAGCTTCACAGCCCAGGCAGTTTTCTCAGCTCTTGCAGGCCAGTGTGGATGACCTGTGGCTGGAGAAGATGCAGAGAAGGAAGCTGGAGACTCAGGCACAGGCTGGAGGCAAGATACACACCAAGACTGCACATGTGGATCGAGTACAGGTGAGCCACTCACGGGCCAGCCGCTTTCCAACTTGACCTGTCGCCCTCTTGTCTTCTGCAGGTGGCTGCCATGTCCTCACTCTGCCCCATGCTGGCACTCGCCATGCGTGGGCCCAGGATTGCAGCACACAAAGTAACTTACTGGGTTATTAGAATCACAGGTGTGAGAAATTGTCTGATAGCTGCCAATTTCTGCAACCTTACAATCTTGCTGCTGGCATCTGTTGTCTTTTCCCCTTGTAAGTTATGGAGATTCTCACAAGTCATTTTTGGTCCTATCTTGGCATTTTGAATACTATGTCACAAAACTCTAGGCCTCGTTCTGTTCCTATAGAGAATAGAATGACTGGGATTTTTAGGTGACTGACTCCGTGATGGTCAGGCCACGAGTTCTTGCTGAACACAGTGCTGCTGTTGTCAGCTTGGGTTTCCAGAACCATTTAAGCAGTGTGGCACAGTCAGTGGCCAGTCGGACCTGCAGAATGTCCAGTCAGGTCTACTCAGGCACAGTTCGGGGGAATCCTGGAGGACACGCATGGTGCTGTGCGATCACTTTCTTGGTTCCTTTTTTCTTTTAAATAGTACTAAGGATTGAACCTCAAGATTTGCACTTCCTAGGCAGGTCCCCAGATATTTGCGCTACATATGCAGCCCTTTTGTTACCACTTTCTTTTTCAGATAGAGTGTTTCACTAACTTTGCCTAGGGTGCCTTTGAACCTGAGATCTTCTACCTCCACCTCTCAAGTCCTTGAGACCCAGATGTGCACCATAGTAATACCTCATGAATAAATTTTCATTTCTTTCTTCCTTGCTCCCATTACAGGAAACTGAATAAACCCAGGGCCTTATGCTTGCCAGGCACGCACTCTATCACTGGATTGTACCCTAGCAGCAGGTCACATCTTTAGTATTCCCCTTTATACATTGTTCCAAGACACTTCCTGTTTTTCAGGAGCCCTCTCCTCCCTGGTCTTTGTACTTGTTATCTGGCCTTTCATTTTCCCTCTTTGACATTTCAACTGTATCTGCTTCTGAGCCAAGTGACAGGGGGATGAAGAAAACCAAAAACAGAGACAATCCCCCAAAACCACTCCTCTCTGTGGCCTCTAGGCAGAGATGAATTATCTCCCTTGGAGTTTGAGTCTCTACTTGGCCACCATTGGTATTACTGCAGTGGTATTCCACTGGAGTTGGGAGACAAGATAACCAAAACCCAGGATTTCTCCCCTTCCCTCACACCTGCAGGGAGCCCTTTCCCTATTCTGGGCAAAGAGGGCTTCTTTAGAGGTTGTTTTGTCCCTACCCAGCTCTAAGCTGCTATTTTGTTCAGATGTGTCATACCTCTGGATGCACAAATCAGAAAACTCACCACAGGATTAAGGCAACCTTCAAATCCTGTATACTTAGCGGGGCACAGATGGCACAAGCCTTTAATCCTAGTAAGGTCCTGAATCAGAAAATCAGAGAATCAGGGTTCAAAACCAGCCCAGGTTGGAAAGTCCTTGAGACTCTTTTTTCCAATGAACCACCAAAAAGTCAGAAGTGGAGCTGTGGCTCCAGTGGTAGCATTAGCCTTAAACAGAAAAAGCTCAGGGACAACGCCCAGGCCCTGAATTCAAGCCCCAGTTAAAAAAAAATATCTAGTGTCCTTCCAATGGTGTTCTCCCACCCTGATTTGATTCAGGACTGAGAATTCTCAGCATAAACCCATTCCTCAGGATGGGCTGGGGCTCAACTCTACAGGCTTCTTTTTGTTGAAGCTCAGGGTTTTTGTAGAGGTGAGAAGAGGATCCGATTGAAGTGTTCATAAGCAGGCAATTATTTCATCTTAGTACACTTCCTAAACTGTCTTATCTGGTCAGTATCTGAGGCCTCAAACAAAAGGACAAGTGTTTGGAATTTTTCCTGCAAGAAACACAGGACTAGAATGAGTTTAAACGGGGAGGGGAGGGTGGGTTGAACTTATGGCAAACCTGGCTTGGCAGAGTTGAGAATGGGGCTGACAACTAAGTGCCACCTCCTGCTCCTGGCCTGTGCTGCTCCTTCCCCAGCTCTGGCTGGCAACCCCCCCCCCCCCAGACACTGAACTCCATCTTATAGTCATAGTCTCCACAATCCTTCTTTTCAAAAAGCATTCATATATTTTTGCCAGTCCTGGGACTTGAACTCAGGACCTGGGCACTGTCCCTGCGCCTCTTTTTGCTCAAAGCTAGCACTCTACCACTTGTGCCACAGCACCACTTCTGCCTTTTTCTGTTTATGGGGTACTTCATTTATGGGGCTTCATGCATGCTAGGCAAGCACTCTACCACGGAGCCACATCCCCAGCCCCCAAAGCATTCATATTTGAGGACACTGTGTCCTTCCAAACACACCTTCAGTTGCATGACAGTTTTAGTATGTGATTCTTTATGATCTTGTTGGTTCTTGTTTCTTCCTAATTCACACTGTGATTTCCTCTTTGGCCCATTCATGTCTAGTTTCTATTAAATTGCATCATGAGAGTGTAGTCTGTGTCCTTCCCTAGTCTACTTGCTATAGTCTACTTTCTGGTATCACAATAGCTGATCCATGCATCTGTCCAAGGTTTTCAGATACAGATTTCAGACAGGATAGAGTAGCTACCCACCTTAATCCTTGTTTACATATTTGCATTTCACACAGTAATGGAAAAAAGTACTGTAAGTATGATTGTTTGATAGTATAAGGAACCCCAAAGCACAACAGAAAAGAACAAGCATTTATTTGAACACTTATAATATGTTTAATTAATGGGGAGGCCCAAGTTTAACACTGGATAGCGAGAGTAAAATAGTACCTCTTCCTTTCCAAGACCCACACAACATTGCTCCTTACTATCTGAAGATTAATGTTGGTCTCATAATTATGAGGCTTTTGTGCATTACATTTTCATTAAATTCTCCCCTACAGAATATCCTCTGTAAAATATTCCTTAGCTAAACCTAAGTTTTGCTTTGGGGGAAGTTGGCTGTGTCTGGCTGACCATCTGGGGAGATTTGGCACCAGAAGCCTTCTCCACAGTTCTCTTTTCACATGGTTGAATAGCAGCCTGTATTGTGCGCTAGGATTGCACATCTAACCATGGATTGTGCATGCTGCAGGTCAGGAGCAGTTCCCCTTTGAGGTTTTTGTGTAGACTGTAAGTCCTGGAGATGTCTGCACATTGGCTGTTCATTCTACTCACTGAAAGCATCCTAGACAACAAGACGCATTAGGAAGTGGTGAAGACAGCCTGTCCTCTGTTTGTTTCATCTCCTCTCTGCCTTTCTCCTCCTCCCCCAGCACTGGAGGAAGATGAGCATCACCTCTCCAGAATCTCCATGTCTACCTCGAAGAAACCATCAGCTTTCCCAGAGTGCCCCGACTGGACTGAACCACACAGGCTGGTCAGAGCACATACCCAACACCGGTGAGCCATGTGCCTATCCTGTTTTAGAGCCAAGTGTCCTGACAAGAAGGAAGAAAGGGAGTGTTTGGGGTTAGTGCCCACTTGTCTGAGAGAAGCAACTTAAAGATGAGGGAGAGTGATCACCTTGCCCTTTTACTTAGGAAGGAATGCCTGGTACCCAGACAGAGGGATGGAGTCCAAGACTGGTTCCCCTAATTACACTAAGCAGGGTGACTGACTCAACTTGGTCTTGTAATAGGATATAACTTGCAGAAGTATAATCACCAGAGTTGACTCTGATCTAGTGATGGAACCTGAGGGCTTTCTCTTCTTCCTGGACTTTTTGGCAGCCTTTGAGTTTCCATCCCAGCCCTATAGCAAATAGTATTGCATCACATATTTGCCTGCACAAGGCCTGGCTTCTTGTGCCTGAAGAAAATTGGTGGGGTTAGGAGCTTGAATTAGCCAGGCGATTTGTTGTTTCCTGTCAGCAGATGTTCATGTTGGAGTTGCATGGTAACATGGACTGTATTCTTTTTTGTATATATTTTTATTGAAAAATACTGTACAGAGGGCTAACAGTTACATGAGTAAGTTAATGAGTACATTTCTTATGGAGCTTTGTTACCTCCTCTTTTGTATTCTTTCCTATGTAAAGTGGTGATCTTAAACTAAACAATAAGCAAAGTTTGACAATTGCTGAAAATAATCATTTCTGGAAGAAAGCTATTTTCTCATATGACCCCCTTATTAAGTTTTAAAATAACCTAGAGATTTTTGGAAGAAACAGACATGATAAAGAGTAGTATTTTTCTGGAGATAACCAGTCCCAAGGCTTGTGACCCATGAAGTCAGCACTTTCTTGAAGTTGGAATTTAGGGCAAAAATCTCTTTCTGGGCATCCTGATTATACAAGGTTTGACCACCTGTTCCTATATACTACTTAAAGAGATAAGCATTGGTGAACAAAGAAAGGAGGTTTAATCAAACATAGTTATGTTGGGAAAACAAAGGGACTTGGTAACCAAAACTTGTCTTCTGGGTATTTGAAAAAATATTAAGTTTTAGTAGGAGAAGAGTTGGGGGTAGAAGATAAGAAGGTATGCAATAGTTAAAACAGTCCTGGTTTATCATTATTTCCATCTTTGTCTCTGGAGGAGTTCTGGAGTTATCACTTTCCCACTGAAACAGAACAGGAATGAGGTACATCTCCTGAGTATCAAGCTATTTGCTTTAAAATGTTAACAGGAAGGAAGGCACTGCCGTCTTGAGGGGTAGTTTGCCTCCTACACAAGATACTTATCAATGAGGCTTCTGTTTTTTGGAGTTCAAAATGATTATGAATGACTTCCACAGAGAATAGCTTAGATCAAAAGGCACAGATACCAAGATGAAGGCTTTTTGTTAACCCACAGGGTCCAGCAAAGGCATCTTTTAGGTTGCTTCTTACATTTTCACATATTCAGAGCATCATGGTCAGATACTCCATTCTTTCAGAGCATTAGTTAAATTTGTGGGCAATGAAATGATTGCAAAATGAGAAATTCTAAGGCCCCGGTGACATATGTCCTCAGCACAGTCACGCAATGACAGGGCTCCAGGTGTGGTCACACTTGGTGTGGGGTAAAAGTTGGGTCCATCTTCCATTTCTCTGTCAATGATCATTTCCATCACAGCAGTAACACTACATCCTGTCTCCTATCTCATAAGGCAGGTGAGAGACCAGGATGTGTTTCTGTGTGTCACTTGGGTAAGTTTTCTTTTCTTTCCTTAGTTACTGCTTGACACTCTACCTGCTGTGTACCAGACTTGTGAGATTTCTGTTTTATACGTAGTAAGTTTCTGCTTTCTATCCACAAAGCTTTTGGTGTTTTATCCCTTTTTTATCTAGGAGAATTTCTCAGTTCCTCCTTCTGCTTTGTTTTTCTGGTCTTACAACTCTTCCCTGGTCACTGCCTCTGCTGGGGCTGGTGGCTGGCTACAATTTTAGTCTCTGTACCGTCTTTCCAGTGTCTTTTGGAGCAAAAAGACAGGCAAACAGGAAATGTGCAAGATTTTTCTTACAATTACAAATAAAAAGTAAGAAAAGGTTCCATCCCTTACCAATAGTGCCACCACTAGGGCACTAAACCTCCAATATACGGCCTTGGGGGCATACTTCAACTCAAAACTGAATCTTATAATACTTTATTTCTCCTCTATTGCTGGTTCAGTTGCTTCACCTTTTACTTCCAGTGCTTTTATTATGGTGTGGCTATTTGTGGATCTCTGTGTTCATCTTGTGACTTCTCTGGCTTCCTAGATGTACAAATCAGGGTACTGTTATTTTTCAATAAATATTGTTCCTTAATTAGAATTAGCTTTCCTTTTCCTTATCTATATGCTCTTTCTGAAATTCCCATTATACCTGTGTTGGTGTACTTAAATGTGTCCCATGTTTCTGGATTTAAAAAAATTTGCATCATCTCTATCAATCTAACAGTGAGCTTTCTGACTCCCTCTTCCAACTGCTCAAACCTACTACTGAATCTTTCATATTTATTCCAACTATCATGCTTTCCAACTCCACAATTTCCATTTAGTTCTTCTTAATAAATTCTGTGTTTTGTTATTATCTTTTTGTCTGTGTGTGTGCCAATCCAGGGGCTTGAATTCAGGGCCAGTGTGCTGCCGCTGGGCTTTTATGCTCTACCACTTCAGCCACAGCTCCATTTCCACTTCTGGTGGTTAATTGGAGGAAAGAGTCTCAGAGGCTTTCCTGCCCAGATTAGCTTCAAACCTCAGTCTCCTGAGTAGCTAGGATTACAGGTGTGAACCACTGATGACTGGCAGTTATTCTCTTTTTGATGTTATATTGTCTCCTTTTAGTCATGATTTCCTTCAGTTCTGTAGACATGTTTATAATGGATGCTTGAACTCTGATAAATGAGAAATCTCATCACTTTCAATAGCATCTTCATATGGTCTTCATATTTCTAGTTATGGGTCATACTTTCCCGTATTACACCTTTTGATTAAAAACTGCACATTTTAAAAAGTATGTTGTAACAGCTCTGAACACTGCTCTCTTTTTAGGCTTGCTTTTGTTGCTTGCTTAGTAACTGGGTGAATTATTTTAGTCATTTTCCTACTCATAGTATAAACCTCTGATACTCAGCTCCAGTAATGGCAGTAGCTTTGCTTGGGCTCTCTTCTCCTCCTTTCCTGACCAAACACAGTTATTAAATTTTACTAATTAGCATTTGATTGTTCTATTATTTTCAATATTGTTTGCTCTACAAACTAAACCAAGCAAATTCTGTTTCATTTCAAAAACTAAATTCATGCCGGGCGCCAGTGGCTCATGCCTATAATCCTAGCTACCAGGTGGCTGAGATCTAAGGATCACGATTCAAAGCCAGCCTGGGCAGGGAAGTCCGTGAGACTCTTATCTCCAATAAACCACTAGAAAACCAGAAGTAGTGCTGTGGCTCAAGCAGTAGAGCACTTGCCTTGAGCTGAAGAGCTGAGGGATAGCACCCAAGCCCCACAACTGACAAAAAAAATCATGTTTGTTTTTACAGTACAAAGCTTTGAACATGGGACCTTGAGTTCCCTAGGCAGGTGCTCTACCACTTGAGCCACACCCCAGTCTTTGAAAGAATGCTTTCAGAGGCCAGTGTTTATTTTGTCTGACCCTGGCTGGGGGGAGGGGAGACCCTCATCTCAGCCGTCTTTACTCCAGTTCTCTCATACAAATTACTGAGTTTATGCTAGGCTTGTTCTTCATTAGGTCCATAGGAATTTCTTCCCAAGTCCCTACCCAATCTCCAGTGTTATTTTTTAAATTTTTTTATTTTATTTTACTTTTTTATTTTAAAGATGCTGTACAGAGGGGTTACAGTTACTTGAGTAAGGTAATGAGTACATTTCTTGTCAAACATTGTCACCCACTCCTTTGATGTTCTCCCACTATCCCTTCCCTCTCCCACTCCTCCCTCCCCTCAAGTTGTAAGTATTGTTGCTGCGATGGGTCGTCCTTTGTCCTTCTTTCAGCATTTTGTTATTCCCCTTCCCTTCCCCAAATCACATAAATGTACATACAAGATGCAGGGTACCAAAATCAAAGACAGTGATTGCCAGGGAAAGACTAATGGAAAAAGAAAAAAATGAAATAAAATAAGGAAGAACTAGATACAGTATATTGGCACAACAAGGTCAACAACCAAATGCCCCACAATAGGTGAATGGATCAAGAACTGTGGTATATATACACAATGGAATTTTATGCTTCTATCAGAAAGAATGACATCTCCCCTTTCATAAGGAAATTGAAAGACTTGGAAAAAAATCATATTAAGTGAAGTAAGCCAGAGCCAAAGAAACATAGGTTCTATGGTTTCCTTCATTTGTAATAATTAGCATATGCCTAGGATAGTCCTGGCAGAGAATCATAATAGCTCAATAGCTATGTACATATGACCATGCAAAATGATGCTAATTGAACTCCAAGAAGGAAACAACTGTTGACCTTGTTGTCACCAATGTACTATATCTAGTTCTCCACTGTTCTTGAAAGCACCTTAAGGTTTAAACTTCTCCATACTTTGTAACAAATAAGGTTAGTTCCTTTTAGAATAAATTAAGTGCTATTTGTTTTACAGCCTTCTTTCTCTCTCAAGCAAAATCTTAGGGCTCTGGATCTAGGGGTGGGGACACTGGCCAACTGTTCTCTGAGGGTTCTCAGTAGAGCTTCAGGAAGAGAAGCAGTAGCTGCTGCCCCCTTGCTTCTCTTGGTAGGGAAACACCCCAGCCACAGTATTTTTAGTGGTCCAAAGGAAGCCCCAGTATCTCAGGACTTAGCTGAAGCAACAGGTAGTTAGGGGCAGGCTGAGAAATGCCAGATCTGCTCCTTCAGGAATCAGAGGCTATTGGCTGTGCTGTTATAGGCTACAACATTCCTGAATGGAGTCAGAGCCAGAATGCTATGATCCTCACTGGGCTGTAAGCAGGAAAGAAAGAAGCCATCTTGATTTAAATATCACAGACTCACTTTCACTGAGCTGTGAGTGCCTTCTTTATTTACTGTTCACTCTTAGGACCTTCTAAAGGTTTTAAATAGCTGTTTTTTTTAAATATTTGTTATTAGTTTTACTGGGGAAATGGGTCACTAAGTTTCCTCTGATTGTCCTGCCTGGAGTTGGCTTTGTCTTCCCTATTACTACATCCGGGTCATTTTAGTGAGTATCTGAGAGGAGATAAATTTCATGACTATGACTTTGTTATATCTTAATCTAAATCCATTTCTTAAATTTCCTTATTGAATCACCAGCAGCTAGTGTACACTCAGCAAAGACACTAATGAGAATCCATCATGAAGTTCTCTGGGAGCCCTCAGAATGGGGAAAGGAAATAATAGTTACACAGTGGTCCAGAACCAGGCAGTAAGCACTAGCACCAGTTCCATTCATCCTGGGTATGTGGCCTTGGTTGCTTCTGAGCCTCAATTAGATGTTACTAGTAAATGAAATGAAGCATAGTATCTATCAGATAAAGTTGTAGAGACTAGAGTATTTAGTATATAGGACTGTTTCATAAATACCAGCCAATATTCCAGATATTGCCAGGTACTGTTACTAATCTATCGATCAATCGATCGATCTATATAATTTCATTTAGTCCCTACAACAGTCCTACAAAAGTAGTTGTCAGTATCCTATTTGACAGTTAAGTTGAGAAAGATGCATGAAGGTAAGACACAGTGTAGAACAGGAACCCAGCTCCCTAGTTTTGAGCTTCTTTCTAGCTTGCACTGTTACAGAAATTGAAGCACAGGATCCACTAGGAGAGAAGCAGAACAGAAGCGCATCTCTAGGCTTAGACAAATTCCCATTCTGTTCCCTGTTGAATTTCATTTCCTTCTTTTGTATATTATCAAATGCCTAGAGAAACACTGATCTTTTTGCATGGAAGTTTCTCATTCATTTTGTCATTGTTATTATACACACTCACACATATACACATACAGCACCTAAATAATTACAAACCCACTGTTGTGTTGCTAAGGAATCTTCCACCACTCTTAAAAGTGTCAAAAGTGAAGCCCTTAAGCTTTGTGAATGTATCAGACACTTTGTGTCAAAGTGAACAAATAGCTAAGGTAAACAAGGAGGAAAGGGTGTATTTTAGCTCACAGTTTCAGTCCACAGTCCTGGACTCTGTTGATTCTGGGCCTGTAGAGCTCATGGAGAGGAGCTGGTTTCCTCATGGCAGAGAGGAAGCACACCATATAATCCTCAAAAGCACAACTTATGACCTCCTTCCTTCAACTACCCTTCCACTAAAATTCCCAGAACTCTACCTACAAACAATACCACCATTTGGGAGCCAAAATTTCAACCTGTGAATCCGTAGGGGATACTTCAAGTTCCAACTCTTAACAGTGGGCTTATAGGATCTTCCATGGTCGGACAGTAGCTCTCATTGTGCCACTGTTCCTTTCCTTTTTTGGAACAGGAAGCATCGATTTCACTCTCCATCTTCACTGTAGTCATAGGAAAGATATATGTATCCTTCTTTCATGCTGAAGCTAAAATGGAGAATCTCCCCTTCCCTGCAGCTACAGCTAGAACAAGATACCCAACATAAATTTACCCAAGTCTTAGGAGGATCTCAAGGGGAAATGAACTCCCCAAAGGAAGGCCTGGCTCAGGAATTACACAGGCTAGAGCCATGCATCTTGCTATGAGCTAGACACATCACCCCTACACCCTCAAAAGCACAGCTCATTCTACTTAGAGTCCTGACCCCAGAGAACAAAGATCTCTCCTCAACTGCCCACCCAGCCTCCACTTATCCCTCCAAGCTGCCTGTGCCAGGTGCGCTACACATTGTGGGGACATGGTGGGTCAGATGTTACTGCTTTCACTGAACATCTGATAGACATGCAAGAGATAAACAATCAATGATTTCAATAAATAAATGTCCCAACATACAGGTACTGATACCTGAAAGTTGCAAAAAACAAAGAGAAGGGCATGCCAATTGAAAAGAACAGTAAGTGCAAAGGTACTGAGTCTAGGAGGAACAGCAAAACAGCCCCTGTGGCTGGAGTGCAGATAGAGAGGTCAGTCAATGCAGAACAAGAGCAGGTATGCTGTGAGGATCTTGAAGCCTAGGAAGGGACCGGATGTGATCCCTATTTCTGGGATTGTCTGGCAGCTGTGTATGAGATGGAAGTTGCCCTCCTGGTTTGGCATGGTAGTGGCAGCTACAGAGCAAAAAGAAATGGGGAGCCCTGACATTTATTTTGAAGGTAAAATCCACTGGCCTTGTGGATGGATAGGGAGCGTGGCCTGTGCCAGCAGTCTCTCTGTTCTGGTGCAGGTCTTCAGAGGCATCCTAGAACACACATGGTGACAGTCCAAGCAGAAGGCCTGCCTTCAGGAGTAGGGGAGGAAAGGAGTGGGTGGGGACGGGAGGGACAGGAAAAGGCACAGAGACCCAGAGAGTACATTGAGCTGGGGCCTGGCCAAGCCTTGGCCACCCTACCCCCAGTGCCCATCACCCGTAGACACCGCATGCTGCCATGCCCAGCTTGGGCTGCTAGAAGGAGCGGTGTCTGTGAAGATACCAGATTCCTTGCGGTGCAGTCCTGGGTGTGGAGATGAACTGTCTACAGGAAGTGGACCCCACTGAAGAGATGGAGGGCTCCTTGACCCCTAACCAGCTGGGGTGGGACCGACCTCTGACTGCTCTGTCATCCTTTCCTCAGCCACTTCACATCAGAAAACAGCTCCGAGGGGTGGCTTAAGTACTCAGAGCAAGAAAGTACGACCTTGAGCATTGAGTTCAAGCCCAGTAAGCCCCCCACCCTCCCCACACACAGGGACTGGAAGAGGGAGGGGAAGGAAATGCAGGGAGGTTGGGGATGACT